CCTCCGGTATTTTACTAGGCTAGGTAGTTTCTCTTCACTTTACAGAGTGTTACAGCTGCTTGCTGCTGGAAAATAGCCACGACAGAATCAACATTTTAAAATGTCCTTCCCTTCCTAATTTAGACATCTGGTTAGAGTTTTAGCAGCGGCCAGTTAATGCTAGTCTGTTTGTCAGGATGGCAAACGTGGGAGCTGGAAGGGCGAAGACGCAGGGAGGTGCCTGCAGGCAGGGTTGGGATCAGGTGGACTGAGCTCGCGTGGGCGCTGGCAGGCAGGAGGCGCTGCTCTGGCCTTCACACCCTCTCCTCAGCTCAGCCTGTGTCACCCGCCGTCCTTCAGCCTCAAATGCCGTTGGCCGGCCGCCTCCACCTGCTGTCATACTAGCTTGAAATGCACTAGAGAAAAGAAATGGAGACAAGTAGATTTTTTCTTCTGTTTGCCTTTTACCTTCGTGTTTTGGGCTGAGACTTGGCTTCTGTTCCCAACTCGGGGTGCCAGGAGAGGAGGGACCCCCCACCCACAGGCTCCTCCTCGACACCCTTGTCTGGTCAGGCCTGTCAGTTAGGCTGCTTCTAACTGGGAGGGCAGCCGTGACTCCTGCAAACACCAGTTTCCACATGGCATCTCTGCTCCAGCCCCTCACGACAGCTTTAAGAGCCAGCTTTTGTTTCTGTTTTGTCCTGCTCTGTCGCTTTGCTTGTTTTCGGCAGGAGAGCCAGCGTGACTCCTGCAGGACGGGGGTGACATGCTGCCCCCGCGTCCGCCTCAGGTGCCTTCTCCTCTTGGCAGCAGCACCCGCCGGGCCGGGCCCTCTGTTGAGGTGCCCTTTGGTTTTCTGGGGCTGCAACGGTGACACAGTGGGTTTGGGTGGCAAAGGGGCAACATGCGTGAGAATGCCGGCCTTCCTGCGAGAAGCGTTCGCTCGTTGCGCAGAGACGGCTCCTCGCACAGACCCGATGTGTATGCACAGCATCAGCCCCCCGTGGTGAGGCCCTCATCCTGCAGCCGCTCCTGGTTTTGGAAGAGCTGTTTCTGCCTGTGGGCTGTGGAGTACGGCCAGCTTCCAGGGCGCTCAGTAGCTTCGGCTTTCAGAGCGCCGGCGGTTCCCTTTATAGGCCCGTTACGTAACCTGAGGACACTGTGTGCTGCCCTGGCGGAGGGAGCGTCCTATGGTTTGGACTCTGGCTCTGCAGACGCTTCTCCCTCTGCCTCAGGACGTGGACAAGCGGGGCAGGCCTGACTTGCAAGGGCAGGGAGCTCGTGTGCAGGCTGCGGTTCCTCGGACACCGCTGCTGGGGCTGGAACACAGAGAACGTGGAGTCTGAGGCTGTGCGGCCTCGGTGCCGTGGCGCTGCGGGAGAAACTGCAGCCAGAGGCTCTGCAGCTGCAGAGGGGCCTTCGGGTCTGCAGGCTGGGGATGCACGTGGTTCCCTCGACGTTGGAGGCTGGCTTCACGGGGCCTTGTTGGTTGACAAAGGAATTCTTCCTTTTGCCTTGTCTTCTTTTTTTGCTTTTTTTTTTTTTTTTTTTTGAGTTGGAGTCTCACTCTGTTGCCCAGACTGGAGTGCAGCGGCCGCTCCCGGCCACCGCAGCCTCGACCCGCTGGGCTCCGGCCATCCTTCTGCCTCAGCTTTCCGAGTAGCTGGAATTACAGGCATGCGCTACCGTGCCCAGCTGATTTTTTGACTTATTGTAGAGATGAGGTCTCACCAAGTTGCCCAGGTGGGTCTTGAACCTTTTTTTACTTTTTAAGTTTTGAGTGGGAGTCTCACTCCGTCTCCCAGGCTGGAGGGCAGTGGCATGCTCCTGGCCTCCACAGCCTCGAGCTGCTGGGTTCAGGGGATCCTCCCGCCTCAGCCTTCCAAGTAGCTGGATCTACGGGCACGCGCCACCACGCCTGGCTAATTTTTAAAAATTTATTTATTGTAGAGATAAGGTCTCGCCAAGTTGCCTGGGCTGGTCTCGAATCCCTGAGCTCAGGCAATCCTCTCGCCTTGGCCTCCCAAAGTGCTGGGATTATAGGCGTGAGCCACTGCACCCTGCCCATCTTCTTACTTTTAGAGGAATGATGGTACTTATTAAGCATCAGGACTTTTTCTACCAGGTCAGAACAAACGTGTCTATTCCCAAGAAACACTTAGATGAAAACATCTAAACGCCTGCTCTGTGCGGCCGCAATACTTCTCCTGCCCTGGTTGTCCTGTTTAGTTCTCTAGCAGATAATTTCATGGCTCGGGAGTTCGTGTTGCTGAAATGATTATCCGGGAAGCTTAGGAGAAAATGTCAATAGCTTGTAGGTCTTACTGATTAATGTAGAGCTTGATGAAATAGATAGTGTTGTCAGAGTGGAACTTGGACTCTTGTTGCTAAATCCATTCCCACCTGTGGCTAGAGCAGTTTACTTTGGACTAGTTGGAAGAAATTGGAAGGAGATGTGTGTGTTTCAACACCCAAGCTTAAGTTTTGATGGCCTAAGTAATCTAGAAATTCATTTTTAGCAGTGGTAGTGTATAATAAACCTTACCCCAGAGAGCTTTGGATGAGAGGTGTGAATTCTGGCTTCAGCTGCTGCTTGTACTTGCTGTGTGACTTTGGGTCAACCAGTGCGGAAAATACGATGTATTTTTGGAAAATACCTTGAACTCATTGAGAGAAAGGAAACTTAAAGTGTTTATTTCTGTAGGTGGAAGTTTTAGAAAGTCATCTCAGTTGAACGTTGGGAAGTTCTGCCCTGTGAATAAATATAATCTGACAGGCGTGTAGTGTTTTATTTCCGCCGTTTCAAGATTTGTGCTGGCAAAATGGGGATTTGAGACTTTTTACTCATTACGTATTTTTTTCACTGCATATTCTGCATAAGTTAATTCGTGCTTCCGTCTAAATTGTCTGATGGAAATTGGTTTTAGTTTACAGTTACTCCAGGGCTCTGTCATTACCTGATTCTCTAACCAGGGAAAACTGCTGATTTAGGGGCAGGGGTGGTTCAGGTTTGCTTTTCTGTCCCCCATTCATAGGACCTGTCCAGCAAATTTTCAATCTGAAAAATGAATAATTGAAAGTATTTTTTGTGGACCAAAATTACCCAAGTTACTTAGCTACACTGGAATTTTATTTCTTTAAATATTGTTTGAAATAATTGGGGGTTTGGCTCGGATTGAGAATCGATTTTTATTTTATGGAAACTTTATTAAGATGGGGTTTACTGGCAGTTGGGGTAGGGCACAGGGCTGAGAGAGGCACGGTGAGAGACGCTGGGCTCCCAGCAGAGCCGGAACTTGCAGCAGTGGCTGCCAGGCCTCACGGGCTTGGGGACAGTCCTGTTAGCATGTGTGACGCAGAGCTTTCGTGACCACAGTGTCCATCATAGAGGTGAGACAGGAGTTGAGGGAATCTTGAAAGCGTTAGCCAGGGCCAGTCCTAGCATTGGCTGACCAGTGCCCTGTGTTAGCGGAAGGACTGCTGTTTTCGGCCTTGATCTGATGGGAAGGGATACAAGCATCCCCTAAAGGGCCTTAAACACTTAGGCTTCTGGTTTTAAAATCTGACAAGTGTTTATTGAAGGATTTTGAGCTTTAATTTAAAGCTTGCTTCTTTGAAGTTCCGGTTTACTTTAAAAACCAGGTACATCCATCAGTATCACTTTTAAAGGTACAGAAGGTACTCGAACATCTCCGTCTCTGTCTCTTGGCCACTTGGTTCCCTTCTTTGGAGGTAACCAGTGTTATAGGTTTCTTGTATGTATTTCCGGAAATATTCTAAAGGATTGTTTTTGGAAAGGGAGCGTTGAATTGTGCTCATTAAAATGTTAGCATTAACTTGGATAGGCAGAGTAGTAATGGCCGGGAAGTATCAGTTTGAGCCATAAGTTAAAGATATTAATAGTAGATGGAAGAACCATATTATTAATGTCATTATAATAGGTATATTAGCTGGGCTCAGTGGCTCAGCCTGTAATCCCACGCCTTTGGGAGACTGAGGTGAGTGAATTGCCTGAGCCCGCGGGTTCGAGACCTGCCTGGGCAACTTGAGCCCGGCTATTTACTTATTTTTAATACGACTTACCCACTCCTAGAGGCTGATGGAAGGATGCTTACCTAAATATTTCTTGTGGGAGAAACTTTTGTAAAGAAGCAACACTGTCTTCATGCTGAATTGCTGTGATAACTCTAAAAAGTGTTTTCATTATGGAAAGTTGCAGAAATAATGTAGCAGTAGAGTCTGAAATCCTCGCTATTTGACTGTAACAAACTCAGGTTCGCTCCTTCGGCAGATGGGAGGAGGTATTTTTTAGTGCACACGCTTGCATGGACCCATCCTGCCATAATCATGTCTAATGAAGTCAGAAGTAACTCTTTTAACGCCTGACTCCTACTTGCTGTCCAAGTTTTCCTAATTGTCTCAGGAATGTCTTTTTATGGTTGGTTTACAGTAATAACTTAGAAAATACAGTTTTGATAGCAGTTACATTGTTAGGACTGATAAGAAATAAGTTAATCTAAAAAGTAGAACAAATATAAGGATATAAAGCGACTACTGAACTAGATAGGAATTTCAAAAGTAGATTGTTTTAAAAAACTCTATTTGAGGAATTTCCCCATCGATCATGCACATCAGTGAAGCCTTCAACGTAGATAGACCCCACTTACCTAGCTTTCTGTTTGCTTTTAGTCTCACGATTAATACAGCTGTGCATCTTCATTTCTTTGGGTTGTGGGAATGGAAGGCTAGAGGAAGGAGCAAACGTTTGGGACTGAGCGCGAAGGGGCTGCACGGAACGTGTGGTGACCGAGCCTGGTGCTGCTGCTCCTGCCGGGACATGCATGACCCGTTCGCGCAGACTGACGTCGAGTTCCTTAACTACCTGGGGTGGTGCAGAGGTGGAGTTGGAGGGGAAAGGAGGGGAGCGGGCGGCCGAGGAGGGAGGGAGGCCTGGGAAGAGCAGAGACTCGCTCGCTTGCCTCCTGTCGTTGCCGACTGACCAGAGCCCCCTCTCTGTGCAGTGTACAAGTCCCCGGAGTACGAGTCCCTGGGCTTTGAGCTGACGGTGGAGAGACTGGTTTCTATTGGCTATCCTCAGGAGCTGCTCAGCTTTGCCTACGACTCCACCTTCCCTACCAGGTAATGATTCCCCAAGTCGTTTCTGGATTAAGACTGCTTCCCCACCCCCAGTGTTAGTAACTCCAGATTCATCCCTGGCCCCAACCCAAAAGCGACTCAGAGAGTTCCTTGCTGGTTTGTGGTTGGTGTTGACTCTAAAAACGTACCACCTGTTTTGTGTTCTTGAATTGAGCTCAGTTTGTTGCTGCTGAAGAAGACCCACGTAGAGTAAGACAAGGGGGGTTACTAACACCAACAGACAGTAATCACAGGCGGTCCTGTTTTGGGCCATTGGAGAGCCATTGCATGCTTTGCTCATGTGCTTAACTTGGTGTGGTCAGAGCCATGGCCGCCTGCATTTCCAGATTCGATAGGGAAGATCCAGGTCACAAGGTGAAGTGTATTCGAGATGTCATCGTACAGCCCCACACATCAGTCGAGGCGAGGACTGGAAGGGGAGCGGGACCGACTGTATTCAGGCAATTTCAGTTTGGACCTTATCTTTGGGAGGCTTTTGTCCTTACAGAAAATAACTGTGTTGCCTGTCTGGAAAGAGCAGATACTTTTTAGTTGCTCTGGAGCTGGTTTTTAGGGTCATGTTCACTCACTTTGGCCTCTAAGGCTTGTCGTTCTCGGGCGTACTTAGGTTGCCACACAAGGGGGATTGAAGGGGGGAGGTTGGCTCCTGGAGACAGAACGCTGCTGCGCGGTCTCCGGCCTGCGTCACTTAGTATTCTCAGCGGTGTCTTCCTCTTCACCTAGGGGACTCGTCTTTGACACACTGTATGGGAATCTTTTGAAAGTCGATGCCTATGGAAACCTCTTGGTCTGTGCACATGGATTTAACTTCATAAGGGGGTGAGTACAGAGAACCCTTAGGTTCTTCCTAATACTTCTGCAGTCTGTCAGGGTGAAGAGGACATTGGCCCCCAGCTGTGATAGGCTTTCCTATGCCTTCCGGGATTAAAGAGGAAATTCCTTTGCATAAGGTTAGTAGCAGTTACTTACTAGGCAGTTGGAACCCAGACTGACATATAAATAGTTAGCAGTCGCGTTTTGTTCAAATTAAGTACCTTCTAATTATACAGCAGCCACAAAACTCACCTTGAAATTTGCCCAGAAGAGCTGTAGTAGTTCTGACTTACTTGAAATTCTAAGGTTTTCATGTTCTCCTTTTTAGCACAGTTTTCAGGTAGAGGTGATGTACATAAAAGTGCTTTGAACAGTTTTTTGTTTGTTTGTTTTTGAGTTGGAGTCTCACTCTGTCGCCCAGACTGGAGTGCAGTGGCCGCTCCCGGCCACCGCAGCCTCGACCTGCTGGGCTCCGGTGATCCTTCCGCCTCAGCCTTCCAAGTAGCTGGAACTACAGGTGCACGCTACCATGCCCGGCTAATATTTGATTTATTGTAGTGACAGGGTCTGGCCAAGTTGCCCAGGCGGGTCTCGAACCTGCGGGCTCAGGCAATCCACTCACCTTGGCCTCCCAAAGTGCTGAGATTACAGGCTGAGCCACCGAGCCTGGCCGCCTGGAGCAGTTTTAAACTATAGCAGTTTAAAATGACTAAGATTTTAACAGCAAATACATTATGTTTTACATTCTAATGAATACTTTCAAACATTTGATTTTGTGATTAAATATTTATTAGACAAAATTAAAATGAATAAGGGTAGTAACATTTAAAACAAAGATGAGCTTTATTTTCATAATCCTAACATTTCCGCTATTTTCATTAATTTGGAATTCCCACTGTAGTAAACTGGAGATGAAATTTAGTGTCTGCTGTTTCTTTTGTGAAGCACCTTAATTTTTTTCTATAAAAAATCGCAGTGCTATAGTCTGACAGCTTTCGTAATGGCGGCTTCACCTTCGTACTCTTTCTCTACTGCTATTCTGCCTTATTTGCTGTTGTTAGAACAGCAGCCCTTCAAACTGAAATAGGTTGTATGTCCTCTCGAGTTGCTTTTTCATGTCTTCTTCATTCTTAACAGTGAGGTCGGGTACACCCCAGCCTTTGCTGAAACTGCTAAAAGGGCAATGCCTTTTTCTCTGGTAAGAGACACAAACGAACTGAAGTTGTGTCAGAGCTTCCTTTGAGTCGCAGGTCCCAGCAGTGCCCCACTCCAGATGGACGCCCTGGACCCAGGCCCTTCAGCTGGCATTGCTGGCAGACCACGGGCCCAGAGCTGTCCACACACACACGTGGGGATGGTGAAGCGAGCTCTCACCTGGACACGGCTGGGCAGGCCAGAGGTGGCAGCCACCTTTCTCCCGCCGATCTTCTCATAAGGGGTTTGCTCGAGATTGGTGAACGTGAGGCCATGGTGACTGCAGGTGGTACTGGCCGCCTGAGCTGTTTTGTATGCAGATACTGTCGCTGTAACCCAGGACCCCCCCCCCCAGTGAAGGCGAGCTGGGGTTCTGCTTCTTTCTGAAAAGGCGTTTGGAGTTGGGGAGAGGCAGGGTGGAGGAGAGAGGGAAGGGAAGCCGCTCTCAAGCCAACGCTTGGCCACCTTCGCTCGCTCGGAGCCAGGGCCTCTCTTCCCCCACACGGGCCGGCGAGGGCTCCAGCAGCTCCCCTGGAAGTGCGGAGACAGTGTCCAAAGACAAGTCACGCACTCGGAGGCGCACAGGCATTCCAGCAGCCCTTGGCCTGAGCAGTCTTCGGTCCAAGGAAAAGCCATGGCGAGGGAGGCGGAAGGTGGCGGTGGGGGAGGCCGTGGTGTGGCTGTTCAGCGTCGCCAAGGCTGGAGGTGCCGAGGCTCCATCAGGCTCTGGCAGCGGCCGAGCCTCCAGCTCCGGGCAGGTCTGCATGTGGCCGCGGGCCGTCGGGGCCGCCTTGCCGGCACTGACCTCCTCCCAGTTCTTGGGCCGCTTTCCTTCTTTGATGAGTCGTGACCTCCCCATGCATCTTCGTTTCCAGATACATGCCGGCGTGATTCGACACTTGATTTAAATAGAACACGACTGCTAACTACATCTGTAAATCAGTGGGGTCCTAACCGCCTAGTCAGTAACTGTTGACTGTCTTTTTTTTTTTTTTTTGAGTCGGAGTCTCACTCTGTCGCCCAGGCCGGAGTGCGGTGTCATGCTCCCGGCCACCGTAGCCTCCACCTGCTGGGCTCCGGCAATCCTTCCGCCTCAGCCTTCCGAGT